CATTTATTAAAAAAAAAATTATCTTTCTCCCTTAGATAACATTTTTTTTCTCCTAAAAAATTGAGGTTACAACAAGAAAGATGCATGTCTACCCATGGTAAAGGGTATATGTGAAATGATGTACTCTTATTTAGGTAATAATAGATTTACATGCATATACATTTTTTTATTTGTATCAGATATAATTCACACATTATTATATATTGCAACAGAGGCTTTTATCTTAAATTAAAACTCATAAATTTTGACTATGTTGCATTCTATTTTATTTATGTTTATTGGCATAAAAGTGTTGAATTTTTATACAATGCTCTTAAAGAGATGGAGCCCTTTACTTTCATTTGGACTGTCTTAAGGCTTTGAAATGTTTGTTTTCACTTGACTCATTCCATTGATAAAAGAGCAGAAAGATCCAGGAGAGTTATCAGTGACAGGTTACAGTGCTATTTATGAATATCAACCACTGGCTCCACACTCAGAACCAAGTAGTAGAAGAATATGGAAATGTCTCTACTCAGTCGTGTCTGATATTATTTCTAGACTGTTCCCAAAGAAAGCTTATTTTTGCTCTTGCCAAACCAGAACATTTATATTAGAAAATCACCTTCTATGCAAAGAATCTATAACCAATACACTGCAGATTTCAGAAGGATGTAAGTAGAGAATTTATAAAATTATCTATAGTAGTTCAGTTCAAAATCTTACCTTAGGCATTCCTTACAAAATTGTACTTTTGTGCTTCAAACCCAACCCATGCTGTAGTTAACCTTCCTACATTTGTGCTTCCACTCTCTGGTTATCCCCCGGACTCTCACTCTTCCATCCGTTCATGACACAGAGTACCGTATCTCTCTCTCTAAACTTCTGTTCCCTTACTTGTATAACATCACCTATTCATTATTTGATAAGGTCTTCTAGTTTGATTATCTCTTTTGTGCTAAGTAAACAAGTTTTTTTAACGTGCCTCCTCAACTTATTTTGAATGAACACTTCAAACTAGTTTTATTTTGCAAAATCTTTCCTTGCTGAAGATCTGGAGTAGTGACTTCCAGTCTGTGAACACCAGAGTTACTACAAAGTACTCTGAAGTCCATATGTATACCAAAATATTTATAACATACATGTGGAATGATTTTGCAAATTGTGCTAATGAAATGTATGTCATTAAAAAATAGCAGCTATTATGGGCATGTTTATTTAAGCCAGTAAAATACAAATATCACATGAGAGGTATCTACAAAATTTTCACCTAAAGTTTTTTGGAAGATACTTAACTGGAGAAGGCACACCTGAAATTCCAGTTACTTCATTCTCAAATGGAACTAATGTAGTCCTATTCTCCTTTCCCACCACTGCCCCCTGTCCCCAACCCCAGCTCTAAGTAGCTGATTCTTAGTTGAAATTTTAACTAAGTCTCTTCTTCAAAACACATCAGAGGTCAATAATAATATGAAAGGACATCAGTGATTTTCCCCACTATATCAAGCAGATCAAGACTGGATATTTTCATATTCTCTCTTCTAGTTACAACACCACACAGGTCTTCTATTATTGATTCCTATTTTGACTCAAAAATCATAAAATTCCTGAGAATACAGAGAGTCTATCCTATCAGAAGATATCAATTATTATTGGGGTAATGTGGTAGATACCATTTTTCTTTAGGCTCTTAAGCATCATGATTGTCACAGTTGTTCTCAACCAAGGCTAACTGGTTTAGGCAAAAGCTACTTAAGACTTTCGCTCTCAAATCCTGCTCTATACCAAGGAATAGTTATGTTACCTAGTGATAAAAAGGACTTCAGACTTCCATTCCTGCCTACCCTACTTTCAGAGTCCAAAAAATATCATCCTTTGAGAATGGAAGAGGGGGCGCCTGGGTGGCTCAGTCATGATCCCAGGGTCCTGGCATCCAGCCCCAGGTCTGGTCAGGCACCCCACTCAGCAGGGAGTCTGCTTCTCCCTCTGCCTTTCCCCCTTGCTAATGTGTGCATGCTCTCCCTCTCTCTCTCTCTCTCTCTCAAATAAATAAAATCTTTTTGGGGGGGTTCCTTTTTTTAATTTAAATTCAATTAACATATAGTGTATTATTAGTTACAGAGGTGTAGAGTTCAGTGATTCATCAGTTGCATAAAACACCCAGTGTTCATTCCATCATGCGCCCTCCTTCATGCCCATCACCCATTCCCCCCACCCACCACCCTTCCAGCAACCCTCAGTTTGTTTCCTATGCTTAAGAGTGTCTTATGGTTTGTCTCCCTCTCTTGATTTCATCTTGTTTTATTTTTCCCAGGTTGTTTTGTGTTTTTTGTTTTTTTTTTTACTAACCAGTATCATGCTGTATATATTGTTCTTTGATGTGCTTGTTGGAGATGTTGTCAGCCTAGCACACTCCTTTTATCCATTCTCTCTCTCTCTCTCAAATAAATAAAATCTTAAAAAAAAAACTGAAGAGAAAAAAAATGAGCAATTTGCACCTTATCATCAGTGATATTCTTGGGTTTATTAGATATCACTGATAATTTGTGGGGGTCACATGATGGGAGTCATATTATAAATAGCCTTTGGAAATTTGTTGCTATAGCTCTGGCTCCTGGATTTTTACATCAACATCCATCCAATGCTAATAGAACCAGTGCCATTAGAAAAGTCTAACTACCCTTAAAAGGGAAAATTGTCACAGAGAAACAGAGATATATGGAAATAGATCTTTTCCTTTGTTTTGCTAACTTCTCTTTCTCCACCTATATATTTTAACATTGAGAACAAAAAAGAATGTTACATTTGTAGTAGGAAAGCTTAATCCACTGATAGCCTTGTAAAAGATTTTGTTCTAGACATATTCCTTTAATTCAACATAGATTATTATTTTTTTTAAGATAAAATGTATGACATCAACATAGAATGATTTCTTATGCTTAGATACTAATAATCGGATCAGGATCATTTCTTGCTAAATTGTTATTTGCTATCATGAATAAAACTGCATTGCATATTGTGAATGGAATAATTAGAGACTCTGGTGTGTCATAATAAGTAGTAATTACAGTACTTCCGAAGATTTGGTTACTCTTTTCCCTGAAGTCATGCTGCCTTTTCAGCCAAGTACGAAGTACCAAATTTTTGTCATAGCAAAACTATGATGAACATTGTTAAGTGTTTGTAATTATTATTACTATTTTTTCAGTCCATTATATCTCAGGGTCTAAATATATGTAACAAAAAAATTAACTGAAATAAGTACTTTTTATTTTCCACTTTATATATCCTCACATGATTTCTGTGGTAGAGATCCAATTTCCACCTGGAAAAAAACTAAGGAAGAAAGTGGAGATGATTAAGGCAATGTCAGCAAACAAATAATGAATTTGGTCAATTTTTCCAACATTTAATTGATTCAGTGAAAACAATCAACAAGCTAATTGCTTCACCAAAATTAAAAATCACTTGAAGCAATCAATTGCTTAGCCCTAAATCTCACTTTAATCCTAGGAAGGATGAACTGAGCCAGGAAACATACAATCCAGTCTTAATTAGTATTTTTTAGTTGAGAATTCCAAAGTAGTGTTTTACCAATAGAGCTTATTTTTCTGAAAAATCTTACACATCATTATACACAATTTTAGGGATTAATTCCAAAGCATTTTAAAGTGTTTGCCAAATATTTTAAATAGTAAGTGTGAAAAAAGCATAGACTTTAAAACTAGAGATCTAAAATAGTTGGTGTTATTTTTGACATATTAAATCAATATACCAGTTATTCTTTAGAATATTTTTTCTAAGAATATACTTGATTTTTCTAATAGCTACATTGTCTTCCATTAACTTCATTCATTCATTTAATAAACATTTACCTTCTACTGTAATTTTTCAGTTGTCCACTAGGTAGGCCCCTGCAAGGGTTTCTTTCTTTTCTTTTTTTCTTTTTTCTTTTTTAATTATGCACTTTTGTGACCAGCATTTCATATTTTAAGATGTTTGTTTCATTGGGATATATTTCCAAAATATTGACCTGAGAACATTCTATGGCTTTCTTTTCCAATAAATATTGCATAAGCTTTGGTATATATTATTTGATTGGTCTCCAGAATAACTGAGCAGATTTATAACCCACTAACAAGTTTAACATGTATGTGCCTCTACATAGCCTGGCAAACCAAGTTAATGACTTTTGTTAGATTAACAGGTGTAAAATTAATCATTAAAATTATTTTAACTCGCATTATTATGCATGACTTTTATTATTAATGAAGAAGGTTCTTTAAGTATGTATATCTCCTTCACAATAAACTTTATTTCTGTCCTTTGTAAAAATTTGTCCATAATGATTTATCTTTAGAAATATCTGTGTATGTATCAGTTCTTACAAATTTTTAGAATAAGTATGTCATATTTTCCAATGTTATATTTGTTTGATTACATTTAAGCTAAAGGTTGAATGATTTATGTTTATATGGCTCTATTAGTTATGACTTAGTTGATTTTATCTGTTTCTTAAATACTCCTAAATTTTGTCTTGTCTTCTTTGTATTGCTTCTGTTTTGTCATTATCAGAATAGCATTGGTCTATTTAAATATTATAATACCTTTGAAATTAAGATTTTGGAATTTTTTTAAATGCCTTGTTTCGTACTTACTTCATGTAACTGCATCTTTAAAATGGTGTAATCTTCAGTAACAAATATTGTGGACTCTACCCTCAGGATTCACTTGATTCATTATTTTAGTATATTTCCATAAATCACATAATCTGTGGCCTGGGGGTATAATTCCTTTGCAAGCACCTATTATGTGCCAAGTTATTTATTCATTGACTCTTCACAAGAGTATGAAGCATTCTTCAAAGTCAAATTTCATCTCTGTCAGAGTCACCTAAAATGTTTCAACAAGGACCACTGAGTCAAAATCTCTGAGAATTTGAGGATTGGGCTGGAGGAATCTACTTTTTGTTTTGTTTTTGTTCTTAGTAACTTTTACTGAATTTTTTTTTTCTTTTCTAGACCCCAAAGTCCGAGGACTACAGTTCTGTAACACTACCTTAATCACTCATTGTAAGTATGAGGAAATAAAGTCTAAAAGGAGTTAAATGTCTTACCTAAAGCCACATGAATTTAGGAGCATGTGATCAAGATTACTCCAAGACTAATTATCTAACCTATAGTACCAACTCAACCCCTGAGGGGATGCCTAAAGAGGCCTGAAGCTTTTTATTCTATCTGAGCTAAAATTAACTGATTTGTTTTGATTCAACTGCTTACTAAGAACTAAAATTTGGGGAGCGCCTGAGTGGCTCAGTCAGTTAAGCGTCTGCCTCTCGATTGGGTCCTGATCTCAGGGTGCTGGGATTGAGCCCCACATCAGGCTCTCTGCTCAGTGGCAAGTCTACTTCTCCCTTTCCCTCTCCCTCTGTAATGTCTCTTGCTCTCTCTCTCAAATAAATACATAAAATCTTTAAAGAAAAAAAAAAAAACAACTAAAATTTGGGTTTCGAGTAGATCTTGCTGGCATTGAGGCTAAAAAGACGACAGTTCTAGTAAAAATAATTATTCGTGGAACATATACTTTTAGAACTGTAAATATCATCATCATACAATCTATGAAACAAACTATATATCTAGGTCATAATTAGCATAATATTATACCCATTACTATGTGCTTTGGTGTATATCTGGTAACAAAATAATATCAAAGTGCATGTTCCTACACACACATCCCCCCAGCTTAAGAATTATTACTCCAACCTGATTCTTTTTAAATACATACTTTCACATATTTGATATGATTATAACAATGTCTATCTCTGTGGAAATTCATAGTTATATGTTTAGAAAAGAAATCATCGCATATCGTTACAGAAAGAATTATAAAGTCTAGCAAAATAGTTATTTTGCAATAGAGCAGCTTTGATTCTAATAAGTAGTATGAGGTAGGTAGGCAATTCTATAATTTATGGCTATGGCCAACACAAATAAAGAAATGCTATATTAACATAAATAAATCTATAAACTAATTAGGAGGTCCTTTACTACTTTGAGAGAAAAACCCCCAAAATTTATAATTACATAATTTTTAATAAAAAATAAGGGGCATAAAACAGGTTTGAACAAAAACAAACAAGAATCAGGGGCACCTGGGTGGCTCAGTCGGTTAAGCATCTGCCTTCCGGCTTAGGTTACAATCCCAGGGTCCTGCTTTTCCCTCTCCCTCTACCCTCCCACCCTGCTCATGCTTGTTCTCTCTCACTCTCTCTCAAATAAATAAAAATCTTAAATATTTGAAAAAAGAATCAGATTCATATATATATATATACATATATATATATACATATATATATGTATTTTTTTTTAAGAGATTGAGAGAGCAGGGGCAGAGGGAGAATCTCAAGCAGGCTCCAAGCCCAGTGCAGAGCCTATGTGACACAGGGCTGATCTCACAACCCTGAGATCATTACCTAAGCCGAAATCAAGGGTCTGACGCTTAACCCACTGAACCATCCAGGCACCCCTGGATTCACATAATTTTTAAATTGGCAACAGGGAACTTAACAATTTTGAACAAGAAGTAAATATTTTTTAAAATTTTAATGCTATATCAGAATCAACAAAAATGGGAGTGAGAGTAAATATGGTAGAGGATCAAGAAAACAGAAGGGAAGTAAAAATTAGACAAAAGGCAGGGAAGAGAAATATGTAGATTATCATCATAAAACTTTGTATTGTGCAAAATGAGTGATAACAGCAGATAGGCCAGGGGTCCTGTCTGTGAGTGGAACAGAAGTTAAGCATAGCGGAGTTTACAGTGATCAGACCAGATGTGGAGATGGCCAGCATCATGAGGACGCCTTGGGATGTCTCTAGCACTGTGAACAGGGCCTACTTAGGTAGTGGCAGTGGTAAATTAGGTAGCAAGTAGGAAGTTAAGGGAAAAAGTCAGGGAGGTTCAATTTAATTTTCCTAGCTAGAAAATAAGCAGAGCTACTTTAAAGATTGGTATCTCACTTCTGACCCAGTGAAGTAGAGACATAGAAAGGAAGAACCACACACTGAGATAAAAACAAGAAAGGGGGGAAACATATAGTTAGAATAATAAGTTCTCAGGTATGTATGAAGAAAGTTGCAGTTGCAGGTGGTGGGCCTCTGAGGGTTATTACTTACTGCCTTAAAAAAAATGGTAGCTGATTCTTTTCATAGCTGCTTATTTTTTATCCTTAAATTATAAAAGCATCATTTGTCATAGAACTGAGAAGGCAGTGAATGAAGAGATACAATTTTGTATATTGTAGTGACCTTGACTAGAACTTTATTATTTCCAAAATTGTATGGAATCAATCACATAGTATATAGCTATGAAATCATACCTTGTTTGTAGGTATACAAGGATACATAAGTGATTGAATGAAATCAGTCATGTGACCAGAGGATCGTCACATGGAACATCTACAATTTTAAAATAATAATTTATTAATTTTCACCTCTATGTCTAATGCTTATTTTCCTGTGAATAAGAAGGAAACACAAAGTATAGAGACATAGAGCTCAGTTCTGTACTTAGACACACCTGAATTGGAAATTTTGCTCCTCACTTACTCCCTTGAGCAAACTGCTTAACTTCTATATTTCTATGTCCTCATCTACAAATTGAGGATATTTATAGTACAGAACTCAAGAGGTTGTAGAGAAGATTTAATAAGATAATATATTGCATATATTAAGCATTGACTAAATGTTAGCTATTATTATTAAGAAGGTCAAAAGGACCTACAAAGCTTGAGCTTGTGCTTTATCAGAATATCTCTGGAATGGAATCATTACCATGCCATTTCTCTCTGAATATGATGACCTCTACATATTATAAACCCCACAGAAACCAGTCTCTCTGTAAATAGCACATAGAACTGACAAAAGTACCAAAAATGTTTTTTATTGAGTTCTAATTTTACGGGAAAAATTGGATAAAACAATGAATTCAGCATGTATTTAAAAGTCCCTGAAGCAACCAACCATCTATATTTGAAAACTTTGCTTTTACTTTTTTTACTTTTTTTTACTTTACCTGAAATTAAACAATTATCTTCTCAACTGCTTAACTTATTGAACTGGATGTCAGAAAATGTGTTCTAAACTTCATTACCAGGCTAATATTGCATTGCTGTTGACAAAATCAGTAAAGATTGATTTCTTGAATGATATAAAAAATAGATCATTTCAGTATCTTTTTAACACCTTTTTGGGGGATTGATACAAAATAAACTGCACTTATACAGTTTTCTAAGTTTTCATATATGTATAAATCATATTATTATCACAATCTATGTAATTAATATTTCTAACACCCCTAAAAATGTCTCTTTGTAATACCTCTCCCTCATCTCTCCAGGCCCACCCCCATCCTAGGCAACCACTGATCACTATCTGTCACTTTATGATACTTTTTAATGACACTTTCTGTCATATTTTGCTTTTTCTAGAATGTTATATAAATGCAACCATATAGTGTGTACTTTATTTTCCTACTTGGTTCATTAAGTGTAATTCATACTGTTGTGTGTATTAATATTTTGTTCTTCTCTGTTGCTGAATAATGCATCCCATTGTACGGACATAACAATTTGTTTATACATGCATCTGAGGATGATGAACATTTGAGTTGTTTCTAATTTTCAGCTGTGAAAATTAAGGCTACTATGACACTTGTAGAAAAATCTTTGTATGGACGTTTGCTTTCATTTTTCTTAGGTAAAAATATAGAAGTGGAATGTCTGGGTCAAGTGGTAGGTTCTTGTTTAATTTTTTAAGAAACTGTCAAACCTGTTTTCCAAGTATTTGTACAATTGAACATTTCTGTCAATAGCATACATATGAGAATTCCAGTGCCTCCATATCTGCATCAACACTTCAAATGGTCATACTTTTAAATTTTAGACTACTAATATATGTGTTTTAGTATCTCATTGTGCCTTTTAATAGGCTTTATTCTTTTAGAGGAGTTTTGGGTTTACAACAAAATTGAGCAGAAAATACCATTCCCATATGTTCCCTCCCATTCCCTACACACAGCCCCCCACATTGTGAGCATTCCTCAACAAAGTAGTACATTTGTTACAATCAGTAGACTTTTTGACACATCATTATTACCCAAAGTCCTTAATTTATATTATGATTCACTCATGGTGTTGTACATTCTATGGGTTTAGAGAAATGTGTAATGATCTTTATCTATCATGGCATCATACGAAATATTTTCACTGCCTTAAAACTCCTCTGTGCTCTGCCTATATATCCCTCTCCCCCACCCACAAGCCCTATCTATCAATGATTTTTTTTATTGCCTTCATACTTTTGGAGACACATAGACACATCCTTTTCTAGAATGTCATATAGTTAAAATCTTACAATATGTAGCCTCTTCGGATTGGCTTCTTTCACTTAGTAATAAACATTTAGGGTTCTTCCATGTCTTTTTCATAGCTTGATAGCTCATTTTTTTAAGTGCTGAATAATATGCCATAATATTCCATAATAATATTCCATAATATGTCTAGATGTACCAGTTTATTCATTTACTGAAGGACATCTTGGTTGCTTCCGAGTTTTGGCAATTATGAATATGGCTGCTTATTGTGGTTTTAATATGTTTTACTCAAATGATGAATCATGCTGAATACTAATTATGTGTTTGTCATATATATATTTTTTGAAATGTTTATTTAAATTTTTCCCTTTTTTGTTAACAGCCTTTTATGTACTAACATAAAATTCGCCTATTTTAACTTATATTGTTCAATGAAAAAGTTGTTCAGTGACCATCAGGAGAGAGTTCCAGTACATTTTTATTGCTCCCAACAGTGCCCTCATACCCAGTGACAGTCAATTGCTGCTCCTATCCCCAGTCCCAGAATCTGTTCCCCTCCCTAATTATTCTGGTTGCTTAATGCATATAAGGTTTGCTTCATCTAGAAATTTCATATAAATGGACTCATATAAATTATATTTTTTCTTCTGGTTTATTTCTCTTGCTGTAAAATTTTTGAGGCTTATGAATGTTGTAGGGTATGTTGTCCCTTTTTATTTCTGAAAAGTATCCCATTGTATACTTCATTTTTTTATCCATTCACCAGTTATTATCCTTTTGGCTGGATGCTAATTTTAGCTGTTTTGGATAATGTTGCTATGAAGATAAATGGACAAATCTTTGGATGAAGGATTCCAGTTCTCTTGGGTAAATACATAGGAGTGGGTTACTGGTTCACAGAGTAAGTATATACTCATCCTTTAAAACAAAACAAAACAAAAAAACAAAAAACAAAAAAAACCTGTTTTCCAAAAATGGCAGTACCATTTTACATTCCCTCCCCAGCAAGGTAGAAGGTTACTGCTTTCTCTACTACATTGGCAACACCTGGTATTGATAGTTTATATCACTATAATTATTCTATAGAGGTGTGTAGTGGTATCTCATTGTAATTTTAATTTGTATTTCCCTAATGTTTAATGATGTTGAGCATCTTTTCATGTTCTTTTTAGCTATCCATACATCTTATTTTATAAAATGTCTATTCAAATTATTTTCCTATTTTATAAATTCACTTGGTGATGGTGTATAATTGATTTTATGTCTTTTGGATATAGTTTGCTAATATTTATTAAACTAGTGAAACATCAGCACCTGGGCTTTTTGTGGAAATGTTTTATTTACTAATCCAATTTCTTTACTTGTTGTAAGTTTATTCATGTTTTTACTTCTCCTTGAATAAACTACAGAGATTTTGACTTTTCCAGATATTTGTCCATTTAATTGAAGTTGTCTAATTTTGAGGCATAAAGTTGTTTGTACTAATCTCTAACTTTTCATTTCTGCAGTGTCTGTAATAATGTTCTATACACTTCATTTTTCTCTGTATATATATATGTGTGTATATATATTCTAAGGATATATATATATACATTCCTAGAGAGTCTAGCTAAATTTGAATTTTACTCATTTTCAAATAATCAGCTTTTTGTTTTATTAATATTTTTATTGATATTTGTTGATTTTTTTGATTACCTAAAATGTATTTAGGTTTGTTTTATATCTTAGCATTTGGTCTATCCTGGAGAATAGTCTATATGCTTTTTTAAAAGAATGTATATTTGCTCTTATTGGGTCAAATACGAAATTTCACTTATACAAATTGTTTTATAGTATTGTTCAAAACTTCTTTATTACTGATTTTCTTTCTAATTGTTATCTAAATCACTGACAGGTGAATAATGAAATCTCCAATTGCTGAATTGTCTGTTTCTCTTTTCAAATTCGTCAATTTTTGCTTAACCTTGTTTGGGGTCCGTTTTTTGGTACATATTTTTTGTATTTCTTATGCATATCCAATGTATAAGATAAACTTTTAGTCATTTTGAAATGTCCCCTTTTTTCTACTAATCAATCTTTTCTAAAATCTACATTTTCTAATATTAATATAGTCACTCCAGCCCTCTTAAAGTTGTGTTTACATCGCCCATCTTTTTGCATCCCTTTACTTTAACTTTTGTGTATCATTGACCTTTTTGTGTCCCCTATTGATAGCATAGCCATGTCTTTTTTTCTTAGCCATTTTTCCAATATCTACCTTTTGATTAGAATGTTTGGTCCATTCATGTTTAATGTAATCACTTATGTGGTTTGATTTACATCAACCATTTTGCTGTTTGTTTTCTGTATTCTTCCTACTTTTCTTATTTCTTTTTCTTCTTTATTCATTTGTAAAACATTTTTAATGTACAATTGCAATTCCACTGATAACTTTTAAAAGATTTATTCTTATATTTAATGTCCAGTATCTTGAAAAACATGTTTTATATATATTTTGTACTTTTTTTTTCTTTTTTTAGAAAGGGAGTGCCTGTGAGAGAGTTGGGGGGTGGCAGCAGAGGGAGAGGGGAGACTCTTAGGCTTCATACCCAGTGCAGAGGCCCATGTGGGGCTCCACATCTCAACCCTGAAATCATAACCTGAGCCGAAATCGAGTCAGTTGCTTAACCAACTGAGCTATCCAGGCATTCCTATTTTCTACTTTATTTAAGTTCTTTCAAGCAAACTCTCCTGTTAGTTCACTCTGGCTGGAAGTGGAAGTCTATTCATTAGGTTTTATTTGTATGTTAAACATAATAGTTACAAAAATTTCATGTTGAAAAGGAGTTTCCCACATTTTATTCACATCATTGTAGGATAGGGAAACCTCACAAAATAAAGATTCCTTTATCCTCCCTTTTTATACAGTAATAGTTATATGTGTGCTATCTAAAGATATTAGAGATCTTGTCATGCAGTTTTATAGTTTTTCTTTCAACTATCATACATTTTTATGTAATATTTACCCTTTGTAATGCTCTCCTTTCTCTATCTGTCTCTTTCTCCTCTCTATCCCTTCCTTCCAGTCTCTTTTTCTTCCAAATTAAGTTTCTCTCTGACATCATTTCCCTTCCATCAGAAGAACTTCTTTTAGTATTCTTTTGGAACCTTTTTGCCGGTGACAAATTATGTAAGTTTTCCATTATGTGTCTTTTAGTTGGTGTTTTTAAACCGTTTATATTTAATGTAATTATTATATAATTATGATTTTTTAATTGTATCATTTGTTTTCTGTTTGCTTCCTGTATTTTGTTTCTCGGTTTCCGTTTCCCGCCATCTTTTGTGTTCTTTCAATATTCTTTAGTATTTCATTTCCATTTACCTATCATGTTTTTTAACTATTTCTTTTTTTCTAGTATACATTTGTTCCCCTGAACATAGAATTCTAAATTGTCACTTTTTTCTTTTAGCATTTTTTTAAATGTTGGCGTATTTCCTTTTCCCCCCCCATAGTTTCTGATTAGGGGGAAAAAAAAATCTCAGTCATTGGTATTGGTCCTTTATATGTTTAATTCATCTTGTTTTCTGATTGATTTTTAAGAATTTTTCCTTATTTTTGTTTCTCATCATTTTTATTATGATCCATCTGGGGAGGGAATGCTTTGACCTTATTCAGTTTTGTATCTCTAATCTTCTTGAATCTCTTATTTGTCTTTCACCAGAACTTGGAAGTTTTTACTCATATTTCTTCATTTTTTCCCATCACCACACTCTTCCTCCTTACCTTCTAAGAACCTAATGACAAAAGAGTTGGATTTTTTATTGTATTGTGTCACAGACTCCTTATTTCTCTTATTTATATTCAACTTCACAGTCTTTATCATCTCTATTCTGCTATTGAACTAATCCAGTGAATTTTATATTCTTGTAAATGTATTTTTAATTCTAAAATTTTTATTTATTTAATCTTTATGTTATCTATTTCTCTGCTGAGATTTTCCTTTTTTTTTTTTTTTTAAAGATTTTATTTATTTTTATTTGACACAGAGACAGCACAAGCAGGGGCAGAGGCAGGCAGAGGGAGAGGGAGAAGAAGACTCCCCGCTAAGCAAGGAGCCCGATGTGGGACTCGATCCCAGGACCCCGGGATCATGACCTGAGTCGAAGGCAGCTGCTTAACCAACTGAGTCACCCAGGCACCCCTCTGCTGAGATTTTCTATCTTTCTATTTATTTTAAGTGGGTTCACCCTTACTTCTTTGAGCATGGTCATAATAAAAGCCTTCAAGTCCATTAGTGATAATTTCAACATTAGTACCAACTTTGCATGTCTTTTTTTGTTGTTAGTTGAAATTATTGTGGTTGTTTGTATGCCAAAACTTCTAAATTGTGTAATAGAAATTTTGGATGCTATGTATGAGACGCTGGCTCTCTGTTTAAATCGTATTTTTTTTTCTTTTGTCTGTTTTTTTAGGGAATCTATCAGATTAGATTCAGTGTGAAAGTTCTAACCTTCCTTCTGTAGTGTGCAGTTTTAATGTCAATTCAGTTTTCAAGATGTTTATATATGTTTATGTGTATGTTTATCTGTTACACAGATCAACCTCATGTGCCCACTAGTGGTCGATCTCAGTCTTATGTGGTAATCTACCATATAGTTCAGTTCTCAAAGCCTATTTATATCCTTTTGGGCCAGATTCATGCATGCAAGTCTCTGAGGTAAACTCAGGAGATTTTACACAACTTTATGAGATTGTTCTGAGTTTTCACCACTGACATTATCTAGTTCCATAGAGGCTTCCCTTCCCAGTCCTCTGGCCAGAAAGCTGGTGCTTTGGATTTTCTACTCTGTTGCCCATTTCTTATAAATGAGGCTGCATATAGAGCTAAAAAGAGAAGGACAAAGAGAGAAAAAAGGGCAAGAATTCAATCCAAGATCTTAAGGTGACAACACAACTGGATAGATAGAAGGATTCCCCTTCAGGGTTCTCATGCCTTCCAGTTGATGCTGATTCACTTCCCAGCCCCAGCAAGATTCTTGAGGGCTGAGTCAAGAGGAATGGATGAAGGGGGAAAATCCCACAGAATTTTCTCCATTCTATTTAACTCTTAGAACAGAGAAGGATTCTTTGAGGATTCTTTCTGTTCTTATTCAGTGCCTGCTTCTGAATTTCAGGCTACCTTTGGGTCTAGGCTGGGTGATACCAGAGGAACAAAACTCACCACTGATTTGTTAGTACTTAAGATTATGATGTTTTTCCCTAGTTTTCCTGCTCACATATTTACCTCAAGGTCCTTAGATAGCTATTTCATGCAAATTGTCCAGGGTTTTATTTCATTCAGTGAGAGAACAGGATGCAGTGAGCTTCTTCCATATGGAACTGGGTGGAACTCCTTTAGGTTCCAAAACTTGAACACTTTGGTACTTTTTTAAGAAGTCTTCCTCAATCTAATCCTTGGAATAAGAATATTTAGAACATAATATAAATATAATATGATATATTTAGAATATATTCCCCCTCATACTGCCAGTCGTTGGGGTAAATAGTATATATATATTTTTTTCCTTTTACTAAGGATAAGGAGTGCTGGGGGTAGTGAGGATAGAGCATATGCTCCCTGGATGGTAGGGAAGACATAGTAGAATTTCCAAAGCTAAAGGGAAAGAAAAACATACTTTATGTATGACCCAGAGATAATACAAATATCCCTATCTTGTAGGGGTTTGGTTTCTTGACTCCACTCTCAGATATGATGACTGCCCTAAAGAAAAATCATAGAGAGAAACCTTATGGAAAAAAATTTCACTGAGAATGTTAATAACAAATTCAAAGTCTAGGGGACTGAGTTGCTAGAGCTTCCCATGACAAAGTTTTCCAGTGGTACTTATCTTCTGAAATTAGCATTTTTTAATTACAGTATACATCAAAATTCTAAATATGTCTATTATTTGATCATATAATTCATTATAGTGGTTTAAATATATATATATAATACACACACACACACAAAGTATACAGTTTTTTCTTCCACATCATTAACCCAATGAGAAGTTGTCAGAGTTCTGAAGTGAAAAAAGTTTCAGAAATATGTGTTTACATTTTTCCCTTTTAGAGATTCACAATGAACAGTACTATTGTAAGTGCTCAGAGAAATTATTCAGTACAGAAAGCTATTAAACTTTGTTGAACCAGCACCTCCCAATCCTATTATATCAGAAAAGTTGTTCTTTGTTTTTTTGTTTGTTTTCTTGTCATCTAACACTTAATAAATTTGAAGAAACCAGTGTTTCCTGGAACACACTTGAGAATTACTGTTCCATTGTAATTCAGGAGATTTCATCTTTAACCTGATCATTTATATTAATTTTTGAACAACCAAAAAATAATATTCCATCAGGTATTTTGAACAGATGTTACCATATCCATTGTTTCCCTAAAATTATAGCATATATGACTTTGGAGATGAATACAGACCTAAATGAGAAAAGAGGTAGATTCTTGAAATTTATAAGTACCTTGATATAAACTGTTAACAACTCATGAAACTAATTAAGGAGTAAAAGCATTAAATTTAACCACTTATGATAAGAAAGGGGCATAAGTAAATGTTTCTTTTGAAATTCAAACTTAAAGAAAAAATACTAGAAATACTGTTCAAATGGCAAAAAGAAAAAATAATCACTCAAACTCCTAAATCAATGTTTACAGTATTATTTGAAATATATTTATTTATAACTATAACTTATCCCCAATTTATATTGTTAAAGAAAAGTGGACATTGATCACTAAATGTTGCTGTATCAATAAAAAAAAAATGTGCTCTGAATTCTTGTTTGTTAGGCAGAAAGACACATTGGTGAAAAAATTTATAGAATGGCTCCTTCATGAGCTTAAAAGGGGAAATTCTTTGTGATCATGCTAACATGCACCCTAGATAAGGTAGAACAAATATACACATCCCTTGTGACATTGGCTAAGACAAAGTCCATTGTCATTGGTCAGGAAAGTCTTCAGTTGTATCCAATGAGAGTCTATCATATATGTGTTACTTGAGATTTATGATCATTATCAACATCAGATATGGGTCACTTCAAATTCACAGTTGTTACTCAATTTTAGCTGGTTAGAACCAGTTTTAGTGAGTTAGAACACATGATTTTGATACCTCCTAGGCAAATGCTGCTTCATATAAAAAGTCCTTTGACAGCCCTTCTTGGTTTCCTACCTTCTTAAATGAAGAGATGGATGCAAAAACATAAGCAGACGGTTAGCTTTATAGTTTGTATCACTATAGTAGTGTTAGGTGTCAGTGTCACATAATTCAATCTTTTTTGATACAGAATCATCTCATACATAACTGTACAGGATGTTAAGTATGCATCAGCATTTTAAACACTGATATAATTGACAAGAGCATTAATTTGGAATGAAGATAGAAATAGCATAATTAATATTTGTAGAGTACTTTTTAATTTTTTATCTTATTTTTATTTTATTTTATTTTAAATATCAGTATAGTTAACATACAGTGATATATTAGTTTCAGGTATATGGTATAGTGATTCAACAGTTTCATACATCACCCAGTGCTCATCGCAAGTGCACTCCTTAATCCCTCTTGTCTCACCCACCTCCCCTTTGGTAACTGTAATTTGTTCTTTATAGTTAAAAGTCTGTTTCTTGGTTTGTCTCTCTCTTCCTTTGCTCATTTTTTTGTTTGTTTCTTAAATTCCACATATGAGTGAAATCGTGGTATTTGTCTTTCTGACTTATTTTGCTTAGCCTTATACTCTTTATCTCCATCCATGTTGTTGCAAATGGCAAGATTTCATTTTTTTTTTTTGGTTGAATAATGTTCCATTGTGTTATGTGTGTGTGTGTGTGTGTGTGTGTATATATATGTATATATATATTACATCTTATTTCTCCATCTATCAGTGGATGCTTGGGCTGCTTCCGTAATTGAGGTATTGTAAATAATGTTGCTGTAAACAGGGGTACATGTATCCCTTTGAATTAGTGTTTTTGTATTTTTTGAGTAAATATCCAGTAGTCCAATTACTGTATTGTAAGGTAGTTCTATTTTTAACTTTTTGAGGAAGTTCCAACTGTTTTCCACAGTGGCTACACCAGTTTGCATTCCCACCAACAGTGCAAGAGGGTTCCTTTTTCTCCACATCCTTTCCAACATTTGTTTTGTTGTTGTTGTTGTTGTTGTTTATTTTAGCCGTTCTGATCAGGTGTGAGGTGCTATCTCCTTATGGTTTTGATTTATATTTCTCTCGTGATTAGTGATGTTGAGCATCTTTTCATGTGTCTGTTGACCATCCATATGTCTTCTTTGGAGAAATGTCTGTTCATGTGTTTGCCCATTTTTAATTGGATTATTTGTGGGGGGTTTGGTGTTGAGTTTTATAAGTTCTTTATATATTTTGGATACTAATCCTTTATGACTTTGACACTTTTGAAGTGTACTAATCAGATTATAGGATCCCCCTCAATTGGGATCTCTCTGTTGTTTTCCTATACTTAAACTGGAGTTATGAATTGGCAGGAAAAATTTTTGTTTTGTTTTGTTTTGTTCTTTTAAAGATTCTATTTATTTATCCATGAGAGACAGAGACAGAGAGAGAGGGAGAGAAGCAGAGGGAGAAGCAGGCTCCCAAGGAGCAGGGAGCCCGATGCGGGACTCGATCCCAGGACCCCGGGATCATGACCTGAGCCGAAGGCAGATGCTTAACCATCTGAGCCACCCAGGCACCCCGCAGGAAAAATTTTTGTAAAGGCGAAGTGCTCTTCTCATTGCATCATACCACAGGATACATGTTTTAAGATGGCTTACTGAAAATGTTGCTTTGATCATTGATTCAGGTAGTGTCTGGCAAGCTTCTTCCTGTAAAGTTTCTGTTTTCTCTTCCCATATGCACCCTAAAATCTATTCTATTAATCTTGTCTACAGCAACTATTACTGTGCTATTCTATTGGTGATTTTCTAATTCTTTTATCCCTTATGTATTTATTATTTGGAATTTGTCTGTAAGAAAGATGTGTTCTTTCTTTCTCTCATTTTTCTTTCTTTCAGTATTATTTATCAGTATGGACTCATGGGTATTTATTTGATTCTTTGGGTTATAATCTAATATTTTCATTATTTATTTTGTTGCCCATATTATTCCAATTCTGACCATTGGGAACTCTTTCAGAACAATTCCTTGGTCCCCGTATCCTTTACACATGCTCCAATACTTTATTGTTTTATTGTTATGTGTGTGTGTGTGTGTGTG